GGAAAAGTCTATGAGTGGTCATTAGTTATGATGACCAAATAGAACCTCCATGTGCAGGGGCAGTATACTCTTGAACAAGAGTTGGGGGGCAACTTTTTGGGGTGGCTGTTGGATGTATTTCCTGCTGGTGGGATTCCCAGAAGCATCTCTTTGGCAAGCTAGTGTGGAAACAGGACATTGGACTGAAGAAGCATCTGCTGTGATCCCTGAAGCCTCTAATTTTATTGCAATGAAAGGCACAGGGCACGTAGTTATCCTATGCTCATTTTTACAATATTTTAAAAATATTATTCAGTGATCCCACTGCTCTTTCTCTGCATCTTTAAGTATTCTACTGAATTATTAAAGTGTGTGGGAAGAAAGGAGACTGCAATTCTTGAATGCTGAGGAAAAGGCATTCTGTGCATGCGCTGAAGTATTTTTCTTCCAGAATTTAGCCCATGTTGAAAACAAATTCCTAGGCTAAGTTGTAACGAGATTGTTGCACAGACTGAGTAACTAGAAAGGATGGATCCTAGGGTAGCCAATGTTAGTGTGTTGTAGCAAAACCAAAAAGGAATCTTAACGCGTAACCAGCTTTCATGGTTAGAATCTATTTCATTAGATGCATGAACCGAACTTCAGTCTGCAGATATTGCTATACACGTGGGGAAAATGTTTGTTAGTATTTTATATGCTGTTAGCCACCCCGAGTTCCATTCAGGGGAGGGGGGGCAGGTTATAAATTTGATAAATAAAATAGTAAAGAAGAGCAGCAGTTGTAATTCCCATTAAAATGCATTCTATGGAGCTATGATACATTGTAATTAATATTATATGTTAAATTTTAAAAAGCTCATATGCAAGGAAAACAGAAAAATCAGGATAAGCCCCATTGAGTAAAATGGAACTGACTTACATCTAAGGATACCTGCTTAGGATAGTTAGTTTTGTACCCTTTGATCTACTAAGGATCTGTACCTAGGAGTGTAGACTGGACCCTTATAGAAATTATTTTCAGCATAATTTCAGTTGCCCAGTCTGCCCTGCTCTCCTGCTTTCTTTCCTCCTCTTTAAAGAGGCAGCAGCAGGAAAGGTGAGAACGGAATGGGAGAGCTGGAACTAGCAAGATTTTAGCATCTGGGGGCTAGAATAACTTTCTCAAGCTAGTGTAGGTAAAGTAAGACAACACCATCTGAAGATTTGGTTCACCTGCCTCCTCTCCCTGGACAAAGAAACAAACTTCTAGTTGGAAGGGTACTGGTTCTAGTGGTCCAGATCCTTCTTAACTTAGCAGAGTGCACTCATCTTTAATGAAGCAGTGCTTTGTCCCAAGCCTACCATGTGCTTGCAAGTTTACAAAGTCACACAGAGCCATGTTTCAAGTTGAAACCAAATCATAACTACCTTTATTCTTGAAATACATACTTAATAGTGCAGAGCAGAGCAGAGACAGTTCCTATACTATCTAGCTAGCAGATGGATGCAGATGCTTAGAGGAGCATCTTCATCTTGTGGGCATGGAAGACAGAAAAGAGAGAAGGAAGTTGTTTTTCCAGATGGATGCAGATGCTTAGAGGAGCATCTTGCATCTCCATCTTGTGGGCATGGAAGACAGGAAAGAGAGAAGGAAGTTGTTTTTCCCTAAAGAGTGTTGACCTACATTTCAAAAGGAGTCAGTGACAGTAAACAGGAAGATGCTTAGTGTTTGCCAATCTTCCTGCAACTCTCTGTGGTCACTTGTCTTCTGGAGGCTGAGATGCTGGGATATTGCATCTGATACTTCCAACGCTTCTCACATCTCTCCAATTTTCCTTCCCCCATTAATGATCCCGTGAGTCTGCTTTCTTCATGTTAATAGAAATATTTTAAAAGTATTTTTGTAGTTTAATACAGTTTGAGAGAGTCTGATGTCTCACGTCACTCAGTGGAGCTTATTCCCAGTTCACAATTACTCTGTTCACAGAAACAGAAAGCCAAGTGGTTCTGTTTTGAAATTTGCTTTGGATCAGGGTGTGGGGGGGTGATGGTGGCTTTCAGCAGCCCTGTGCTGAGGTCCTGCTCTGCCCCAAACTCTGCCCTTCCCAGGCTCCACCCCCCCAAATCTCCAGGAATTTCCCAATCTGGAGCTGGCAACCCTAATATACATGGAATAACTATTTTGTACCTGATCAGCGCACACAATATATTCTAACAGGAGTACTGTGTTCCACATAGTCTGTTAATCTGCATATTTAAAGGGCTCATTGCTATTTCTCTTTAAATAGCAGTGCCGTGTGAAGCTTCTTTATTCCAAGTCGAACTGAGTCAAACCATGTATCCACCTCACTAAAACTGTATATTCTGAATAGCTGATACTCTGAACAGGGACAGAAAGCTCTTCTATAACTGGAGACACCAAGGATTCAACATGGGACCTTCTGTATGTCCAAGATGTGTTTCACCACAAAGTTATGACTCTTCCAGTAATAGCCCAAGATTGCTGGGATCTGTTCATCCTTCAAGCAGATCTGTCCAGATTCCTCCCTCTTTGCGTGCTCCTGCATGTGTGTGAACAAATTTAAATGACAAAAAAGAGAGAAAGAACTATGTGGAAGCCATTGAGAACCAAGCTACCCTATCTGCCTATCACCCACTGTATAATTTGTTTCTTGGTGAGGTGTGTGATGGAAGTGGCTTACATAGATATTGATGATTTGTGTAAGAACATCTGTGAGCAATAAAAAGAGAACTAATAGACAAAGCAAGTTTATCACCACAAAGTTATGACTCTTCCAGTAATAGCCCAAGATTGCTGGGATCTGTTCATCCTTCAAGCAGATCTGTCCAGATTCCTCCCTCTTTGCGTGCTCCTGCATGTGTGTGAACAAATTTAAATGACAAAAAAGAGAGAAAGAACTATGTGGAAGCCATTGAGAACCAAGCTACCCTATCTGCCTATCACCCACTGTATAATTTGTTTCTTGGTGAGGTGCTAGAGTGTGTGATGGAAGTGGCTTACATAGATATTGATGATTTGTGCAATGAAAAGAGAACTAATAGACAAAGCAAGTTTTATATATAGTTTAGCTTTCTATTCTAACCATGGTTTTAAGCAAGAGAAAACAGAGACATGGTAGGGTCTACCAGTAGGCAATCCTCAAAGGAATCAATCATTCTGGCCATGGCAACAGACTATTCTTAAAGGAAGGTCCATTTGGGGAAAAGGTGCTCCATGGAATTCTGCCACTTCTAAGCGATCAGTCAGGAAGGAATTTACAAATCTTGAGTTTGTGATTATTTATGGGTCATGGGTGAGATGCTCCCACAAATTTCTAAGATGCCTTTCTTCAGCCTTTATTGTCACTTGGTTGAGAGGTCAAATGTTTCAGATTGTAAAAAAAAAAAGACATTTGGGTCATGGAGAGGTCGTTTTAAGGCAGGGTTCCTAAGCTTTATATTTCCTCCCCTGCTACAGTGCCTCTCGTACTGGAGAATGGAATCTATAGACCTCCCTTGCTGTGGTACACCTGCTGGCACAGCATGATTTGGATAGCATACATTGATTTATGGAAGGGGTGGGTCTGAATCTATTATTCACATTCCCTCCTTCCATCTCTGGGTTATCATGACCTTTCCCATCTGTACACTATCATCAAGTTATTGGTGTTTCAGAAAGGTCAGGGAGCTGTAATTTGCCCTAACCTCCTTCTCCATTTAATTCCCCTCACCCACTGTTGCTCACCTTCCACCTCTTCTGAATGCCTATTTTGAATCTGAAAACCTTATTTCCCTGTTTTGGGAAACTGTGTTATGGATCGCTGGCCCTCTTTGAAGCCGTGTTCCCTCTGTGTCTGAATTATTTTAAAGAAGCTTATTTTAAAACTCCCCATATTGCAAGGTATGACATGCTTTGGTTGTTCATCATGGGGGGGGGGGGAGCATACTAGAATGAATGTAGAGAATCTCCTTTCCTTAGCAATGCTGGATGTTAAAAACACATGAAATAAAAGTCCCTCATTAGCCAATCTGAAGGAAAGGGAAATGGACAGATGGTAATTTCTTGCACGTTGATATTACAAGTGTTTCTATTTTAGATCTTTCCTTAAAGTTTTAAATGCTGAAAGCATAACAACCGTGGGAAGGTTTTCCTCTAATGAAAAATGACTGTTTAGCTAAAGGGGAGGGGGAAGAGATTATTCTAGAATGATCCAAACATATTAGAAAGGTTCATCTTAAAAATGCACATCCCTGATTATCATTTATGACTGTTTATTAGACATATTAGTTTAGTAAAATATGATCCAGGAGGCACGTCCCCCTTTCATTATGGTGGCTTCTTTTGTCCAGCAAAGCTTTGTCTTGTGTTGCAATCAGCTTTAAGTCTATATTAAATAAAGTGTGTGTCATAGAGGGAACATTCAGCAGCCTATTTTTCCTGGGGTACCAACTTGAGCTTCCAGGGTCTAGGGAGATGGCTGATGCTTTCTGGTGCTGGAGGCTTGCTTCTTTGTTTTCCTTTTTTCCCATTGATCTGTTTATTTTTAACTCAACCCCACTGCTAGCGATTGGCAATTTAAAGTTTGCATATATTTAAATAAATTAGCATACACTTCACCCTCCTTCCTCGCAGGAGGTGGCAAAAAACTACTAAACAGGGAAGGGCAAATGGCCTGATTCGAGATCACTCTTCTGATAAAGGAATGGAAACACCGCCCGCTGGTACCCAGGAGGTGTTAACATTTATATGAGCCGGACTGGACATCAGTAACGCCGAGCAACCTTGGCTGATGGAGAGGGCAGGTTGATAATAATAAATACAGAGTGGCCGACAGTGATTGGATGGCAGCTTTCCGAGCCAATCAGTTGGGTACATTCCTCCGAAGTACATTCTGCCTCTTGTAGGCTTTGGGTTGCCCACAGCAACCGCCAATGAAAAGGAGGGAAGGCGATGGAACGTAAGCGCTGATTGGCGACGCCAGGGAATGCTTGACTAAAACTTTGCTGTGATTGGCTACGTTGACAGTGGCAGCGGGGCGAAGATTAAAAACTGGTAGCCGGGAAGCAGGCTTTTGTAGCCTGGCTGGGCCTGCCTGGGTTCAGGTACGAGGTAAGGAACGGCTCATTGAATCGTTTTGGGTTCCAGGGGGAGCGTTGCTGTCCCCAGATCGCCCTAACCCGCGGAGGCTTTGCTATTCATTGCAGATTTCACTTTTGTTTACAAAGTGCTTTCCAGTTAATTTGTATTGTGTTCGCAATCATGCAGAACAACACTGTGAGATTCGGTTGTCAGTGTCACCTTCACCCCCACCTACCCCGTATTCCTGGCAGGACTCCTCCCGTGTCTTTAAGAACTGTGTGGCAGGGAGGAATTCAACATGCGAGCTTTAATTTTCATTTAAAAAAAAAAAAAAACCTGAAGCATTTACAACTACAGATAGCATCCAGGACCTTGCCGGCTTCTTCCACAATTGAGGTATCTCGGTTTAGAGAAGTTGCCTGTGTAACTTTAATTGTCTCTTTCGTATGTTGCTGTTCAATAGGATCAGAATACCGAAGTAAGGTTCCTGGCTTCCAAGTGGAGCCTGGAGATCTCCTGGAATTACAACTGACCTTCAGGCAATAGAGATCAGCTCCCCTGGAGAAAGTAGCTGCTTTGGAGGGTGGGCTTTATGGCATTATACCCTGCTGAGATCCCTTCTTTCTCCAAACCCCACCCTCCCCAGGCTCCACCCCCAAAATCTCCAGGTATTGCCCAACCCAAAGTTGGCAGCCCTATGGACAGTTGCTTCCCCTGCAGGGCTTTTTTTCTGGGGGAACGCGCCGGAACAGAGTTCTGGAACCTCTTTGACAAAATTCTTTTTAAAATGAAACTTCATTTCCCTCTTGAGAGTTCCAGCACCTGTTTCCAAAAAAGAAAAAGGGGGGGGAAAGCAGCCCTGGCTTGAACAATTATGCAGTGCATTAGGCAGGCAAACAAAACTTCTTTTTATCCATTTAGCTCTTCCTCCGTGCCTTTCTGTTCAAGAACCAGTGCACACAGTGAAGTAGCATACCAGCCAGTATACAGAATGAACACTAACATTTGATTCAATAATCAAATCCTTTTGTAAAAATGGAAACCTGCTGAATTTCTGCCTGACACACTGCTCTTGAAAGTGCAGGGACCCTGCCAGAAAACTGCTGAGAAGCAAGCCACAGTGATTTCTATTTAGAACCAGCATTGGTATGGTGGTTAGAGTGTGTGGACTAAGATCTGGGAGATCCATGTTCAATTCCCCAGCCATGAATGCTTGCTGGATGATTTTGGGCTAGTCATACACTCTCTGCCTAACTTACCTCACAGCCTTGTTGTGAGGATAAAATGGACAAGAGGTGAACAATGTAAGCTGCTTTTGGTCTCCACTCAGGAGAAATATGGGGTATAAATGAAGTAAATAAATAAATTTTGACACAAGCAGAGGTCTGCAGAATCAAACCAAAGTTCCACATACTCAGCACCCTGTTTTCCACAGTGACCAGCAAAATGCTTCTGAGAAATGCAGAAGCAGGTTATGAAGGCAACATCCTTCCACGGATGTTTACTCCTCCCTTGGCTGGTATACTGTCTCTAAACATGGAGGTTCCATTAGCTATCATAGCCACTGGGGCCCAAGACATCTTCTCCAGGAATTTGCTGAATACCCCTTTTAAGGGTATATAAACCAGGGGCTTATCATCTGGTGGTAGCAAATTCCATAAGTTATTAATGTTTTTCATTCTAGGAAGAAGTCTTTCGTCTGCCTTGGATCTGCTGCTATCAATTTGGCTGGTTGAACTTGAGTCCTAGTATTATAGGGGAAGCAAAAATACATTCACCCATTGATCTATTTATTTAGGTGATTTCTATGCTGCCTCTGCTGCTCAACTCAGTTTATACTTTCTCTGCTAATAATTTTATATATACCTGTCACTTATATATAGGAGCTGCGGTGGCTCAAGTGGTTAAGACGCTGAACTGCAGGCTGTGGAAGGTCGGTAGTTCAGCAGTTCGAGACCCGGGTGCCGCAAGACGGGGTGAGCTCCTGTCTCTAGTTCCAGCTCCTGCCAACCTAGCAGTTCGAAAGCAAGAAATTGCAAGTAGATAAATAGGTACCACTTCGGTGGGAAGGTAACAGCGTTCCGTGCGCCTTGGTGTTTAGTCATGCCGGCCACATGACCACGGAAACGTCTTTGGACAGCGCTGGCTCTTCGGCTTTGAAACAGAGATGAGCATCGCAACCTTAGAGTCAGATTCGACTGGCTTTCGAGCAAGGGAACCTTTACCTTTACCTTATATATACCTGTTAGGGAGGGGATGTGGCTCAGCAGCAGAGCATCTGCTTGGCATGTGGAAGGTCCCAGGCTCAATCCCCGGTATCTCTAGTTAAAAGATCTGGCAGTAGGTGATGTGAAAGACAATACTGACTTTGATGGACCAAGGGTCTGATTCAGTATAAGGCAGTTTCGTGTGTTCATCACCTTTCCCGCTCATCTGAAGGCCCCAAATCCTTTCTTTGGAGGGAAGATATTCCAAGCATTTGAGGTCATTTTGGCTGCCTTTTCCTGCCCCGTTTCCAGTTTTGAGGTAGATGTTCAAGCCAGAAAGTGAACTGATAGCAGCTTTGCGACTGGAATCCATGTCTTCCTGATTGAATTCGAAGTTTCTATTGACTGTACTGTACTGTGAACTCTCAAGGGTAACGCTAGCCTTTTAATTGCAGATTGCCCATAGGGTTGGCTGTGGCATCTATATATAGTTAAATGGGGGAGTCTAGATCAGTCATGATGCAAAATGGTGTAAGTGTTTTAACTCTGTGTTGGACTATGGCTTATCTTTTTTGCTGTAGGTTTAAAACATCTTCTTGTGTGCCTAAAAACTAAGAGGCATTAAGAGGTAAAATTGCTATTTCTGAGCTTCTGCAAAACAGGAAAAACAATGGGATAGATTATGTTAAAGCTAAAAATTTGTAACAGTAAAGGCACTCGAATATGAAATTGGAATGTGCTCGGTCTCCCTCCTCCCCATAAAATTCTGCACTGGAATTTGATTATTATTTCAGAAAATTCCAACCTTTTCATGCATCGTGTGTGGTTTTGATATCTGATTGGTGGTGAGGAGGAGGAGGAGGAGAAGAAATTGGATTTATACCCTGCCCTTAACTTGGAGTCTCAGAGCGATTTACAATCTCCTTTCCCTTCCCCTATTGGCCAATAGATTCCTTTCCCTTCCCCACAACAGGCACCCTGTGAGGTAGGTGTGGCTGAGAAAGCTCTTTCCAGAACTGACCTTGAGAGGACAGCTTTGACAGAACTATGGCTTGCCCAAGGTCATCCAGCAGCTGCAAGTGGAGAAGTGGGGAATCAAACCTGGTTCTCCCAGATTAGAGTCCGCGCACTTACCCACTACACCAAATTGGCTCTCAGAGTGCCATCAAGTTGCAGCCTGCTTATGGCGACACTGTAGGGTTTTCAGGGCAAGAGATGTTCAGAGGTAGTTTGCCTTTGCCTTTCTCTGCATAGCAACCCTGGACTTTCTTGGTGGTTTCCCATCCAAGTATTAACCAGGGCTGTTCTGGCTTAACTTTGGAGATCTGACAAGTTGGGGCTAGCCTGGGCCATCCAGGTCAGGGCTGATATCTCATTAGAAACCAAGATTTAAGGAGTTACATGGGTGGGGGGAGGTGTAATTGATCGATGGGCAACCGGCACAAGCCAATAGATTCTCAACCATCATCTATTTCTTATTCGTATTTAGGGTCCTTTTTTCCCAAGAAAGAAAAAAAGACTGACAAAAGAAAGTGTGCCTTCGCACAATGCATAATGAATTGACTATCACAGTCAGGGCAATCATCAGTGGCTCACATAGTTTTAAAAGAGGACTGGACAAATTCATGGTACGCCAAGCTATTAACTGCTGTTAACCTCTTTATTGAGCCACTGAATTCCACTGAGGGATAAAAGCAGGGAAAGGGTGTTGCCATAATGCTCTCCCTGTGGGCTTCTCTAGGGCATCCCATACATCCCTGCCTGGGAATTAAGATCACAGAAAGAGGTCCTCTTGACTGTCCTGCCACTGAAAGAAGCAAACAAGACAAGGCCTTTTTAGTGGCAGCCCCAAGGAGGTGCCGCTGGCCCCCTCACTCTCCATCTGTAGGAGGCAGCTGAAGACAGTTTTATTCATGACGGCATTTGATTGGTTCTTCTGCCTACTGGCAGTTTTAAATTGTTGATTTTAACAAGTGGTTTTTGTGTATTTTATTGTCTTCTGTTATTATGTGCATTGTAAGCCGCCTTGAGTTCCTGTAAGGTAGAAAGGTGGCTAATAAATGTTTTAAATAAATAAAAACATTAGACTAGCATGCTGGACGAAATGTTCCAACTCTCTTAACCCCAAGGAACATCATGATGATCCAGTTATGATAGCACAGGCCTGAGCTCCACAGACACCAAAATGCCACATACAGATGAGTGAAATGCTCCAGTGCTCAAGTTTATTGATGCTTCTTCTTTATTCCCAGGATGCCCGGCACAGTGCTTGGAGTGGGGCCAGGAGTATTCATCTTAGCACTGCTCTGGGTATTGGCCTTGTTGCTCTGCATGTTGTTATCCAGAGCGTCTGGACTCGCTAGGTAAAGTGATCTCTCCTGCTGGGAAATTAATTGGAGGAGAAGCTGCAGACTTGCCTAAATCGTGGGCATCTCAGGCAGATATTTCAGCAATTCTTGCCTCACCAGGCAGGCAGGCAGGCTGCATTTTAAAGTCCATTTATTATTGTACATTTGTTTGTGTCATTTCTGGCCACCCTTTCTTCTAAGGAGCTCGGTGGCAGTTTTAATGCCTTGTCCCAGGAGACTCCCACGTTTGATTTTGGTTGGACATTCAAAGGAGTGCATAGGCTCTGCCTTCCAGTGTGTTCTGAGTATTGCATCCTCTGTTGTAGAGCAGCTACACTGAAAGGTTGGGGGACAGGGAATAAGGATGCATTTTTTAAAATCTAGCAGTGAAAAATATGGAATGTGAAGTTACATGGATACTAATTTCAAACTTGAAAAGAAAGCCAGTACAATAAAAAAGCACAAAAGCAAGTGGCGGCAAGCAGGTAAACAAGCATGAGTCACAAAAGAACAAACCACAATGACTATGATATTATACAACAGCAGGACATTCAAGCCCCAAGTACCCTCCCCAACAGCCCTGTCTAAACTTTACAAAGAAATACTGATGGGGGGGGGGGGTTGTCAGTGCAAACATTTCTTAGCAGGGCATTCTTTAAACAGAAACACAGCAACAGAAAGTGCCCTTGTCTAAAGCATTTTGGACTGTTGAGGGCCTCCAATGGTGATGGAAGTGCCAGGGGACATTCGCAGAGAAGATATTAGAACCTAAAAGGATAAGTAGAGTTTGCTGGATGAGACCTGTGGTCCATCTAGTGCAAAGAACAAGCAACAAACTGAGGAAAAATGGTAGAAAACCCACTAAAACACTTCGATATGTACACAAATACAGTCACTTATATATTTAGATACTATATCAAAATTTACAAAATTTATATGCAAGGCATATTCGTGTCAAAACTTCATAAGAAGCAGAACAACTTATATTGTGTCATAATATTTGATAGTTTGAAATTGCACCTTTCTGATTTCTAGAAGCACCTTCTTCTCAAGGGTTGCTACAATTAGTATTGGGACTAGCCCTCAGTTCCCATGAAGACTTCTCATATTGGACCTGTCTGTATACTGCTAAGCTTTGAAGCCAAGAATGTCTCTCTATTCTGCCCAATAGACACGAAACCAAGCGAAAGCCGGCTGCTTTGTAAACTTGAAACTTGAACTTGTAAAAAACTTACCTGTAATGGATTAGCAATATTCTAATGATTGTTCTGGCTACCCAACATTGCAATTTGTATTGTTCTGTTACATAGCACTGAGATATTGTATTGTTTTGGCTAATATGCCTTGCATATGAATTTTGTAAATTTTGATATAGTATCTAAATATATGTGACTATATTTGCATACATATCTAAGTGTTTTAGTGGGTTTTCTACCATTTTCCCCCAGTTTGTTGCTTATTCTTTGTCTTAGTACTGGGAGGTCTATTTTTCTTGTTTGGGTCCATCTAGTGCAGCCACCTGTTTCACATAGCAGCCAACCAGTGACCCGGAGGAACGAACAAACAGGGCAAAGAGATCAAGGCCTTCACCAGATGCTGCTGGCTAGCACTGGGTTTCAGAGGTTTGCCAGTTCTGTAAGTGGAGGTTTTCTTTAGTCACTGTGGCCAGTTGCCACTGATGGACCTCTACTCCATGAACTGAACTCCCTTTTAAAACTTTCTGTCCTTGTGACCATCACTACATCTACTGGCACATCCCCAGTCCCAATTCGTCGAGAGCTTTAAATATCAAATAGAGCACTTTGCCCTGACCTGGATAGGCCGGGCAAGCCCAATCTTGTTGATCTGGGCAGCTAAGCAGGGTCGACTCTGGCAAGTACTTGGATGGGAGACTTCGGGAGGACAGAGGCAGGCTTTATTCAGCCGCCTCTCTGAATATCCTCCAGGCCGCCAGTAGGGGTTGGTCACCAGAGGTCAATATGACTTCTAGGTAGAGACACACGCACACAATACCAAAAAAATACCAAACCCCTCCCCAACCACAGCCCTTTGAATAGGCCCTTAAACTAACCTGACGTTAGTGGGTATTACAACTGAACTCCAGACAACAGCCCCCCCCCCCCCCCCCCCCCGGCTTCCACTCACATAGTGGTCCTGTTGCAGTTGCAGAACACTTTTCAAAGGCACCTCTCTGTAGAGCCTGTTGCAGTAATCCAAGTTGGATCCAAAGGTGCCCCTCCATGAGACCGAAGAGCATCGTTGCATCCAATCCCACAGAACATTTTGACATTTTTTCTGAAGTTTTTAAAAAACAGTCAAATTGTCTTTATAGTTTATTTTTTGCAATAGACAATATAGTCAGAAGGGTTCCCCCCCCCTTATTTAATGTACTTTTCTGTTTGGCGAAGACTGTGAATAATAAACTATCAAATAAAAGTTGGCAGTTGGATATCCAACATTTAATCTGAGAAGAACTTTTAAGTGCATTCTTTGGCTTCTCAATACAGTGCATATTTTTGCCATTATTAAGCAATATTATTTTTGGGGGGAGAAACTGGCATCCAAGGAATGCGGACTGCAGAATGCACTATTCTAGAAATTGTCACTTCCCTTGAAGCCTCTTTCCTGCCATAGTAATGAGTACACCATTGCAAGGATACGTAATTTTTCACTGATGGAATTGCATTAAGTTCTGTATACCGCATCCTAAAGTTGCACCCCTGAAACACTGCCTCCTTTACAGAGCATCCTCTTTGAAGTCAAGGAGGGATCCCCAAGGATTTAGGATTTCCAAATTGTTTGGTCTTGGTTTGCAGAGCAGAACCAGTGCCTTGAGAATCAATGATACTTCTGTTTTGATTTCTGGACTTGGGAGAGCCTGCTGCAACGTGCAGTTTGCCACAGCTTAAAATGTCCTCCTGTTAATTCTCACCTTTCTTTGCAAGCTCTTTTGCTTAATAAAGCACAGCTCAAAAAAGGAATCTGGATATGTCTGTGAGCTTAGCTGTCAGTTGTGCATGTGATCACATGTGCTGTGCTTTATCAGTGATGGGCATATACATCAGTAAGGTAGAATGGAAAAAGAATATGAGAACAAATGGAAGGAAATGAAACCGCCACTAGTTCCAAAGTTGTTATTAGGAATTCTCAATGTTAAATTGGAAAGAAGGTGAAGTGCAAGTCTAGATTATTCATGAACAAAACAGTGAAACAGAACCAAAGAGATCTGCTCATCTCCCCGCTTACTTAAAAATTCCCCCATGAAAGCAGAGAGGAGTCATACAGCACAAACCTACGCATGTTTAGTCAGAAGTTCACGCCAGCGTTTAATAGCATTTGCACCCATCTAAGTGTGCATAGGACGGCAGCATTAGTGATTGTTCCTGTTAATTTTTCCAGGTTTTCTGTTATTCTGGTTTTCTTGGCTGCTGTGATCATCACATTGGTTCTACTGCTTTTTCCACGTGCTGGTGAGTTCCCCGAACCCGCTGCAGAAGTGAAGGTAAAGGAAACAAGGTTTTGTTTCCATGTGTCTCATATTGCTGTGTTCCAACTTTAATCAGGTACACGCCACACTAGTAGGCACTAATATACTCCTAGTGAAATACATTATTGGAAGTCAGTTCCCAAGGGAAAGCAAGTGTGTGCTTCAGCAAGAAAGTTACAGTTAAAAGGAAAGGAGTTGGAGGCTGCCACCAAAGGTTATTAGAAGTCCAGAATCATTTGGCAGTGGGCAACTCACTTGTACCTTGGAGACAGGTGGGCTGAAGGCAGGCTGTCTGTTTAGCTGTTTCTCTGTAAGGCAGGAGGTAGCAAAGCAAGCAGGAAGCTGTAGCAGTGCAGTGGGAGAATCAAGTAGCCTCCCCCACCAATGAGTTCCCCAAACTGAGAGGAATGAACAGGTTTGTGAGTCTTTATATCCCTTAGGAGCATTTGATTGGCCCTCCAACATCACGTGATTTCCCTGGCCAAGAGGCTCATGGGCAGATTCTTCGTTGGAATGACTAGTCCCACCTCCAGCCAGCAACCCTGATGGCTCAGGGAGAAGAGAGCCAGTAGCTAATCTGTCTGTTGGACAGTTTTCAGTCACAATGCAAGAAATCCCTTTAAGAGAAACTACGATCCATGGGATATTCCAGCAGTTTAATAGCCTTGGGTTATTCCAAAGCTAAATCTGAAATCAATCAAAAGAATTCGGGACACTGAACTTCAACACCATTTAAGTTCTGCTGCAAAATGCCATAACTTTGGGAACGAGAAATTGATGTTGACAAACTATTTAGCTAATTTATTGATTCCCAAACACAGGATAGCCTTCACTCTGGCCTGTCTCAATATTCTTCCATCTGCTGTTTTAGAAGGGAGATACCACAATGTGCCACTTAAGAACATAAGAGACGCCAATGTTGGATCAGGCCAAAGGCCCATCCAGTCCAACACTCTGTGTCACACAGTGGCCAGAAATACCAGTGCCATCAGGAGGTCCAGCAGTGGGGCTTCATGAACGTTCATGCCCTGGCACTTCTGGGGAAATTGAAACATCTGGCCATGCGCTGCTGCATTGCTCTTCTATAACGATCTTAGACAGAGGTCATTTCGGAGGGGATCGCAGTTCCCCCGGGTGAGGTGCGGGGGGCGGGGCACACGATGAAGCCCCGCCCCCTGCTTCTGGCCGCCCCGCTTCCAGCCCTCATTCAGCCAGGAGGAGGCAGGAGAAGAGGGAGGGTAAGTTGCTTCCTCCCCGCCTCTCCCCACCCCTGCCTGCCTGGGGCCAGGGAGGGCCTTGGCGGGGCTTCCTCGCACTCCCGCCGGCCTTGCAGGTTCACCGCCGGGCCCCTGATGTCAGGGGGTGTGGCATATGCTAATGAGTTATGCTAATGAGTTCCCCTAGCTCTTTTTCTACGAAATGACCCCTGATCTTAGATATATACTTATCACGCCCATGCTCCCCAAAATCCCAGGAAGATTGGAGGAAGGGTATACCTCTTTTCTTCTTGCACACCTTGAATATAAAACATCAGAGTTGCCAGATTCTGTGCAGCTGTCCGAGTCTATTGAGGGGCTCAGGATTGATTTATTTCATTTTTTAAAAATTTCATTAGACTTTTAGCCCGCCCTCCCCACATTTGTGGGCTCAGGGTGGGTAACAGCGTATATATTTAGTGGCACACATTTGCTTCTTTTATATCTCTTAATAGAAGGTTGTATATATATTCTTATAATCATCCTTATGTTTTATTCTGCCAGTCTATGAATGTAATAAATTGTTGATAGGTTGAGTTTTAGTTTCTGGGGTAGGTGAGGACTCCTCCTTTCTCCTGTAGATTTATACAAGCAGATAATGGGGTTCTGTTTATTTTATCAAAAACATTTATATCCTGCTTTCCTCCCAGAAAAGGAGGGCTTAAAGCAGCCCACAAAAAGAGTAAGTACTAAGGTACACGACCTTAACCTGCAGCATTTTTTAAACAAGAAATATCATAAAGCAGTTTCCTAGGTCACAAGTGCTACTGCAAACAGCCCAGGTGTGAACTGACCACAACTCCTCCCCGGGGGGGGGAAGGGATCCTGAGAGTGAGATGGAACCAGCAGGTTGCATGGAGAGGAGGTTTTCAGCCTGGCCCTGCTTACATTGCCCCTGAACATTTTTGCTGAAATTTAGTGGGATATATTTGTTGTTCAGTCGCACAGTCGAGTCCGACTCTTCGCGACCCCATGGACCAGATCACGCCAGGCCTTCCGGTCTTCCGCCATCCTCTGAAGTTTGCTCAATTTCATGTTCGTTGCATCTATGACACTGTCTAACCATCTCATCCTTTGCCGTCCCCGTCTTCTTTGACCTTCAATCTTTCTCAGCATCAGGGTCTTCTTCTCTAGTGAGTGCTCCCTTCTCATTTGGAGGCCAGAGTATTTGAGCTTCATTTTCATTATCTGGCCTTCCAGGGAACAGTCAGGGTTGATTTCTTTGAGGATTGACTGATTTGATCTTCTTGCAGTCCAAGGGACTCTCAAGAGTCTTCTCAAGCACCATAGTTCAAAAGAATCTATTCTTCGGCGCTCGGCCTTCCTTACAGAGTGGGATATATTGTGATATGTATATTCCCTGTCATCTTTGTCACTGTGATTCATTCGTGTTTTGTGATACCACAGGACAAAATTGACAGGGGCTGTAGCTTGAAGGGACCTCGGCTGCTTACATCCAGACCTTTTTCTCTGCCTTTCCTTATAAACAGGAACGCTGTTTATTCAATAACAACAATACTAGCACCTGTTATGTTGTTGTTAATTGGTTTTAAGCATTTGTTTTAGATGTCTTAATTGTTTTACTGTAAATATATGCTGATTTTATGTAAGCCGCCTGAGCCGGCCTTGGCTGGGAGGGCGGGGTAGAAATCTGAGAAACAAAAAAACAAACACTGTTTTAGGGAGCATCTGCCTGCCCTCCTTCTCTGTCCATTTACCAGGTTTTTCCCATCCTCAGTACACTTGTTCTCAAACATGCTTTACTGTTATGTTTCTGGAAAAACACGGTCCAAGCAAGTTAACATGGCATCTGGACAGGAAAGCTTGCAGTAGGTGCATGCATTCAGAACATGCGGTCTGTCTGGCACAAGAACGGTATGGGTGGATCATGCAGAGAGGGTCAACACGTGTCCTCGGTTGTGTGTTCGAGAGTTGCCTCAGTTCGTCACCTTGTATAGATTCTGCAGCCTCCCAAGAACTGCATGAACTCGTCCCTGTCAAGATTTGCATCTCCCTGGCAAGAACACAACTTCTGCAAGGAAACAACCGAGGACTGAGCAAGATAACAGTGACCTTTTAAGGGTTATAATTACCGTTATGCGTAATGGAGATAAATTAAAGATCATAAAATACGTTCCAGTAATATTTTGTAGAAAGTAGGGCCAGAGCACTGATGCGTCACATGATGCAACAGTATAATGTGCAATGTAATAATACACAGCAGGGAAAATCACTCTGTATCTGGTTGGCTAAGATTGATCATCCAAACCTGTCACCTCCCTATTACCCCGATGTTCATTCTCTTCCAGTTTTTTTTTCTTTCCCATTCTATACTTTGCTTCCTTTTCACCCTGCTGGATTTCTTTTTCTGCAGTGAAATCTTCAGGTAGCATTTGGTACCTAAATTATAACCTCTTCAATACTGGAAAAATCATGTTTGCAGCTAATTCCAAACAAGCTGTCTTGTGTTGGGGAGTGGGGAAGGGTGCGGATAGGCCAAATCCGAAGTATTTTTAAAAGGTAGAGTAAAAGTTAGTTGCCTCTCCAGGGAGGCAACAGAGCAAAAAAGATGATAAAAAAATATGAGTCTGAGCTGAAAGGAAGGGGATTGAAAGGAATTTTTAAACTCCCCACAAAAGTCACTGTATTAAGGCACCTTGTAAGAGTCTTTGAGGGGAAATGCTTTTGCGCTGAGGTTTGTTTGAAAAGTGATTCTCCTTCCACGTTGGGTTGTTCATAAGGGAAATATTTTGGTCTTTTGGAAGACAAACAGGAGGCGCCTGGCTCGCTTTCACTGATGTGTGTGCAATCCAGCTGGGGATTTGGGAGTTTATCACATTTTAGCAAGAAACTTGGGTTGAGAAACCACTTGTTAAATATCTTCCAGACTATAACTGCATCTCATTCCTCTTTTAGCGCGCTCACGTTTGTGATGTCTGGATCCAGCTGTAGCTCCAGCAAGCTTAGATCCGAATTCACACAGCTTTCCTGGTTCCTTTCTCTGTGCATTCCATGTCAAGTTGGAGTCCTTTGTGTTTATAGTTGAAGAGTTAGCTACATACAAGTCTTGGATAGCAGCCAGTGTGGTTTGCACTGGACTAAGTTCTGGGAAACCCGAGTTCAACCAGGGCTCTTTTTGTAGCAGGAACTCCTTTGCATATTAGGCCACACACCCCTAATGTAGCCAATCCTCCAAGAGCTTACAGTAGCTCCTCTAAGAAGAGCTCTGTAAGCTCTTGGAGGATTGGCTACATTAGGGGTGTGTGGCCTAATATGCAAAGGAGTTCCTGCTACAAAAAGAGCCAAATCCCCACTCTCTTGTGAAGCTTTTTGCACACACACTAGGCCCAGCCTACCTCACAGGGTTTCTGTGAGGAGAAAATGGGGAAGGGAGAACAGTGTTTGCTGCCCTAAGTGCCTTGGAGAAAGGGTCGGATAGAAATTTACTGGATAGATTGTTTTACTAAAGTCCAGTGGCACTTTAAAATGTTTACCTCCTTGTCCTGTATGCTTCTGAAGCAAAGCCAGCCTATCCTAGGGGAATATAACTGGGGCTCTTGATAATCTTCCAGTCCAGAGGATCTCTCCATGTTTTCCCTCATTTCCCTCTCTGTGTTAGATGTGGTCCGGCTATTCTTTTTTTTTTAACCCTCTTTTCTCCGCTTCTCCTAAATGGGGAAAAAAAATCTGTGTCAGTTAGCACTGCTTCTTCCCTGCCTCCCAAATGTTTTAAAAGTTGCTGGTGGTGAGCCACATTGC